GAACCTAAATGGTAAAATGAACAGAAAGTACTAAGCAATATATATATATATATATATATATATATATATATATATATATATATATATATATATATATATATATATATATATATATATATATATATATATATATATATATATATATATATATATATATATATATATATATATAATATATATAATATATATAATATATATATATATATATATATATATATATATATATATATATATATATATATATATATATATATATATATATATATATATATATTTAAAAAGATAAAAAAAACCACCAATATGTTTTTTTTAAAGAAAATCAACATTAAAGCATTAAAAGACACATTTTATAATGTAATGATGATTTCATAAATACAAAAGTATTACCAAATATACATAGTACAAAATAATTGTTGGCAGAATTTTGTATTCTATGATTATCTTGAAAGAGTCATTTTATTTGAAACGAAATCTTGAAATCTAGTACTTGGTTTTTAGGCATACTGTCAACAAGCTTTGTTAATAGCAATGGTTCTAAGCTATTCCATGCCTCTTTTACGCAATTGAAAAGACAAACTTCATCATTACACATTCTTCTTTTAATTTTATCTTTGAGTATTGACCATAGGTTTTCAATTGGATTTAGGTGGGGAGATTAGCTAAGCCACCATTTCAAAGTTAGCATATTTTTTTTAACATATGCCTTGTTATATTTTGCAGTGTGCTTAGGATTATTATCTTGTTGAAATAGATAGTTACCATCTGGAAATAAATCCAAGTAACTTGGCTTTGCATTATGAACAAGGGTACTATGGTACTGGTATTGATCCATATTGCCTTTAATCTCGTGAATCCCTCCTGTAACATGCGCGGCAAAGCATCCCCATACGTTAATCTTTTTTGATGCTTAACAGTAGCTTTTATACATTCATGGTGATACTTTTCATTACTACGCCTCCAAACACGAAATCCTCGATTGCATCTAAAGCTAAAAGGAGATTCATCTGACCAAGCAACTTGTCTCCATTGGATAATAGTCCAGTCTTTATGCTCACTGCACCATTAAAGTCTAAGTGCAATGTTGATCTTTTTTAAAAAAGGTTTTTTGATAGCCCAATGAGAATCCTAATTTTTACACTCATGTAAACAACGAATTATGGTTTTTCCAGAAATATTGGTAATACCAGTTTCTATCTTCTCTTTTAGGAGTTTTTCTCTTTCTTCCTAATCCAG